AAGAAACTTATAATTAACATCAGCAAGAGTCAGCTGAAATTTCTCGTGTATATAATGAGGAAGAAAGGCTTGGAAAATTTAATTCTCACAGGATGTATTCAAGGTAAAAATCAAGAGGAAAGCAACACACAACTTACCTGGCGACTCTGTGCGAATTGATGGCGGAACAGGGTTTGGGAGAAATTCCATTCGGATGTTAAGTTTTAGTACATAACTCATTAGGCTGATTAGCCTAATGAGTTATGTACTAAAACTTAACATCCGAATCTTGATGAATAGACACTGGAACAAAGAATGCAATATTTATGCTCGGAATTATATCAGAAATAGTACAAATGCAGAAGGATGCATACCTATGTTTTATAGATTCTGCGTTTGATAAAATACGTGGAGAAAGAACTTTCTTCAACTTATACAGCGAGACCATTCTGATCGAACTAGAGGTCCTACCAGGATTTATTTTTGGCGGTCGCGATCTTAACAACATAAGATATGACAGCGTGGTGATGCTAACCTCGAAAAGAAAACTGCAGTAACTCCTGCAGAAGGCCATGAAGGAAAGCAAGAAGAAAGGACTAAACATCAATTCCAAGAAGACTGTATCTATGGTTGTCATCAAAAGGAACAGACCAACATGCAAATTACAGATTGGAGATACCTAAATCAAATAAGTGCAATCATTTAAATATCTGGGAAGTGTATTTACAAAGGAAAGAAAGTGTGACACGGAAATTCGAAGGCGCATTTGGACAGCAAAAGATGCCTTCCAAAAGCTGAGTAAAGTATTAAGAAACAGGAAAATATCATTTGAAGCAAGGAAAAGAGTACTGAACTGTAATGTAGCATCTGTCCTCCTATATAGGAGTGGATCCTGGGCAGTTTCCTCGCAGATGAAGAAGAGACTATAAGTAATAGTAATGTGGTTTTATAGAAGGATGCTGATAATATTATGGACCGAACATGTGAACAACGATGAAGTTCTACAGACAATGGCAACAAAAAGGACACTTATAGTTAACATCGGAAAGAGGCTGTTGAGGTTTCTGGGACATATAATAAGGAAAAAGTGCTTGGAAAATTTGATACTCACAAGACTGATTAATGGTAAGAGCGGCAGTGGAGCAAGAAATAATGGAGAGCCATGATCGTCAATGTCCTGAAGAGACACAGCAGCTAGAAGAAGAGAAGAAACCTTAGTGCACCAAAAATTATTTTTAAAATCCCAAATCGAAATCCAAACATTGTAGTAAATTTAATTCAATCGAGGTCTAATTTTTTTTAAATATAAAATTAATATTCCAAAATTGCTGAGAATATCATCGACTGAAAATATGAGTAACGAGTAAGTTTTAAAGAAAACGCCAACAAATGAACACGCGTACTTAAAATCAGACCGAGAAAGCTGAAATTTCTGGGATATCAAATGAGGAAAGAGGACTTGGAGAATTTGACACTCACTGGATATATTAAAAGCAAGAATACCAGAGGGAAACAGCGAACAGGATATGTTTGTGTAAATGGCTTGCAGAATAGAATAAAGGAAGAATAGTAAGCAGACCAACATTGTTCAGAGCTATAGAGGATAGGAAGTTGTGGAGAGCCATGATCAGCCACGTCCTATACGGACGCAGAATGGGAAGAAATAGAATCCAAAAGATAAACGTGGACCTGGATTTAATTTAATCTTAACTTTAAGCTATTATTATCACTGATTCTTTTTTCCTCTCAGTCCAAAATTCTTTTTTCTTAAACTCGAAACCCCAAATCTAATCTCAACCCCTGACCTAAGCCAGGCTTTAAAACAAGATTCATTGTTTAAAGTTCTACACAACCGAAATTAATCTTCAGTTAAAACTCGATTTTACTTTTAACCGTCAGCGTATCTTTACTATGAATCATTCATTACTCTTAAAGTGAACATAGCTTCAAACCCCATTTAATATGAACCCTACGTGTATCTAATCCCTAATTCTCCTAAACAAGAAATCAAATCTAGTCATAACCTTAAACATGGATTCCAACGTCTAACCCGAAAGCCTATCATTTTCAATAATTTTAAGCTTAACTTAAAATACTAAATCAAGTGGACAAGTTTTTCTACCTAGGATCAGGGTTGAACTCCCCACAAAAGACAAATGTGTTAGAATTGCAAAGACACGGACAATATATAAAAATTAACATGCTCAAACTTTCCGATGCGTCCTGGGTAAGACGTTAAACTACATCCACGTTCTGGGTAAGACGTTAAACAACGTCCAACAGCAAGGCCTCTGATCAGGAGGTTTTGAGGAGCGTGGAACCACCTCTTAATTGCTGGTGTTCCCAGGTCCACCCTGACCTGGGTGGTAGCACCTGTCAGGGTCACAACTATGGGCTAATAGTTAACAATTACCAGCAATACGTAGCAATAGGTTTTTGAAAAAAATTATTACCAGCAATACAATTTTGAAGGAAATATATTACCAGAAACAGATTTTGGGGAAAACAAAATATTACCAGCAATAAAAATTTTTGTCTGCATTAAATAACCCATTGAGGTTGATATTCCGTAAAACAAAATAAACCAAATCAATCTAATCCAAAGAATAC